TCAACGTGAAAAGAACAATATATACATTGATTTGTATCCTGCAGATAGTAATGATATGTACTGTCTGTGGTGTTAATTTAAATGCGACACCTCAAACAATTTCAACGAAAAAAATTGCCAAGTTTAGGGCATAATTGCCCGCAGATACATATTTGGATATTTCTTCGAAACTCGTCTTGAACAACAATAATCATATCTTAAGCCGACACTTGCCTAGGTTATACATTGATCATTCTTAAAAAGTTTAACATCTGTACCATAAATAGCTTCGGCTATAGCGCGCTTCAAATATGGCACAAACGACAATTGTCAAAAACCCGTCGTCCTTCCTCGCTCCTTCGGGAATCTATTTCTTTAAAACCAAGCATGTTAGATGATTGAAATAAACGGCATTGTCTTTCACAAAGAATGCAGCACCACGTGTAAAAATGCGAGAAAAAAAAAATTACGAATGTACCTCACTGCTTAAATCCAAATGAAACCGCCCCCCCCCCCCCCCCCCCCCCCCCGTCTTTCGAAGTTCAACGAACTTCGAACTTTTACCCTAAAAATTCGAAGTTCGTCGAACTTCTCACTTTTCAGGAATCGAAAGTTCGACAATTTTCGAATTCTTTAGATTAATAAGTTCGAAAATTATCAAATTTCTTAGCGTAGGAAGTTCGAAAGTTCGAAAAGTTTCGAACTTTTTAGTGCAAGAAATTGAAAGTTCGAAGATCATCAAATTTTTTAGTCTGTCAAGTTTGAAAGTTCGACAAGCATCGAATTTTGCAGCGTAATAAGTTCGAAATTTCGAAAAACGTCGAACTTCTTAGTTTACCAAGTTCGAAAATTCGACTTTCGTCAAATTTCTCGATATGGAAAGTTCGAAAATTCGAAATCTTTCGAACCTTTCGAATCGCTTGATTCGATCATCGAATCTTCGATTCGAAAAAAGTTCGCGGCATCCCTACATAAAACATCACGTCAGACATTGAACATCCTCCTCATGCATCGCACATCACATCACACACTGCACATCACGTCACACATTGTGCATCACGTCTCACATTGCGCACCACGTCAGACATTGCGCACCATGTCAGACATTGCGCACCATGTCAGACATTGCACATCACCTCATATATCGCACATCACATCATGCATTGCGCATCACGTCACACATTACAGATCACATTAGACATTGCGCATCACGTCACACCACCTCCGACTGGCCATCACATCTGACATCGAGAGGAGTGCATGCTAGCATGGAGAACAGACCAAACAAGAAGCCATGTCCAAAGTAGGACCAGACTGGTAAAGCTCGTCTCAGACAACTCTTTCTGTTTTTTTAAAGGGACAATGAAGGCAATTTCGAAGATCTTTTTGGCGATTGAACTGGGTTCCAGGCACGTCTCAGGCCACGCTGCCCAAATTTCAGCCGAAACCGGCGCTTGTGTGCCGCGCGAATGAATTAAACAGTCGCGGTAATAATCGTACCGGGATCAACTGGGGCGACGTCCCGAGGGTTGCGGGAGAAGCCAGGAGAAGCGGAGCTCACGTGACCGATGCGGGGCCAAGAAGCGCGACGTCACAAGAGACGCGTCAGCGATTGGTCGAAACGAGAGACGCGCCCTCGGTCAAGTTTTCGTTCGCGATTTTTAGAAATACTGTTCTAATTTCCGCTTGAATAACCATCAAAAGTATAAATCGGACCGAAATAATTACTGAACCGTAAATAAAGCAGCATCATTGTTTTTTTCTTTGCTACGCTGGATGCGAAACCGGCAGCGAGCAACTATGGGCAAACAAAATAAAAACGGTACTCGAAAGATTTTGCAAAATGGTAGCTGTGGATGGCTGTTCTAACGGTTGACTGAAGACCAGTATTCGTTCGGGCAACGCTAGTTTTTACGGGTGGGTTTCTGTTGGTGTTCTTTGACTACGAAAAGAGGGCGTCCGCGGAGGAACCGGATCCCGGAATGGCGGGATCGCTGCCGCTTTCCCTTCGGCATCTCCCCCGCGTCCGTCCTTCAGCATGCGGGCCGCTCGTTGCCGGCTGGGCGTTCTCCGTCGGGTGATGGCAGAGGCCGCCACACACATACTCCCGTTCCGTTTGTGTTCGGTCACTCAACGGAAGCTCGAACTCGCTCGCGAGAGCGGCATTGCCGTCCATGTTGACAGATTCGGCGAAACGACCGCACCACCGCGCTGCTATAACCCACTGCTGTAACCAGTCTCGATCTCCTAAATACTACCGATACCGACTATTCACACTTGACGTCACTCCTACGTCACCTCCGTTTTCGGAGGCCCAGAAACGAGAATGGATATTGTTTAGTTTCGGTTTCTTTACTGCTTTCGTAGGCACATAAATACTCGTCACAATTGTCTACAAAAAATTGGGCAGCATGCTATGTTCCCAAGAAGCATTAAAACACCATTTAAAAAAATTAAATAAAATCGTCTTCATTGTCCCTTTAAGGCTGGTTCAGATATTTACGTCGGACTGCGACCAAGCGCGTTGTGATCTCTCGTGACCGCTTACAATGAGAGAACACAAAACACATCAAGGAAACGTACCCGCACTGGTGCCTTCAGGTAGCACTGAAACTGTATAACCAGATTGACAGTTTTACAGTATTTGCGAGGTTAAATCTATGCACCATTCACGAGAAATGGTCCCTTGTAATGTTGTCAAATTTATTTCAAGTAGGGGTGTGCGAATACCGAGTAATAGTTTTCAAATTGAATACCGAATCGAATTAAGAAAAAAAAAAGCCGAATATTGAATCGAATATAGAATAGTGCTTTTATTTGTAGGAACTTTTCAAAGTGTGCTGCGAATGAGATTATTATATGTGCAGAGTATGCGGCTGGTGTAGAATATGTGTCTCGTACGGAACAAAAGCTAAAATGTATAAAAATTCTGGTGAAAAAAAAAAAAAAAGAAGAAAGCAGCTGCTGCTGGGCGTTGGGCACTGATGATCCAATTTTAAGGCACAAACATAATCTACCTACCCTAAACGTCACGAAAATCCCAAAGTTACAACCACGCATGCCTTTTTTTGTTGTTAAAAACACAACCTAACACCGCAACTTTTTTTTTTGTAATGTTTGTATATCTTAGAAAAGGGGCATTTTGCGATATTTGGTCTCCCTTTTAAGGAAGAAAAAGGGCATCTGGGATTTTATTTCACATAAATAAACAGGTAGGGGTCAAATCTGAGTAAACAGGCTTAAACAATATAATCTGAAGTAAGAAGAAACATGTTGATAGGTGGCGCAAGTCACCATCCAATTGCTGCTATGCGTCCATTCCTCCATCCATCTCTCCTGTTTTAGAGAGCCTTGATTTAAAAGAGGGAGCAAGCGAAACTGAAACCTAGGAGACGGCTCCAGGGCAGATTGGTTGTGAGTGTGCATGTATTGTATTGTCACGTGGAAAGAAGGCGAGCAAACGGAAAGAGCGACAACGCCTGCCCTGCCTCCCCAATCCCGATCGATGCTTTCGTCTTTCGTCTTTTCGTCACCTTCTCGCAATTCGCAATAGACCCTTTGCGAAAATCCCAAAAGCCCGCACGCGCCGCGCGACGAATAATGGGAGTCCTCAATACGCTCTGCCTCCCACTACCACGTGACCACGTGGCAGACGCGAGCCGGCGCAGGTTACCACGGCAACACCTTTTGAAGCAGCTGAGTCGGGCGAGCAATGAGCCAAAGGCTGCCCCTTCCTCATCCCTCTCCTTTGTACCGGCTCTGTCGTCTGCTGCACCAATGCTTTGTCGAACCTGGTCGAAACCTGCCACGGTTGAGGTGCAAACTAAGTGGATTTGGTGACATTTCCTTATGTGAAGGTAAGTTACGACGAATAACATATTAAAATAAGTTCACCTGTCACGATGCCTTTACGCTGCCACAGATACGGCACGCCACCAACGACGTACGACTCGGCGGATGGGCAGGATGGCGGATGGCTGCAACGGCTGCTGGCGCTAGCTGCCGGGACGCGCGTGCAGTCGCGTAGGCCCAACGAGAAAGCACGTGATCTGTACCGAGGGTTCCCAAAATTCCCTGCCGTCGTGGCGCTGTACGTTTTGCCAAGGGTCCATTCAAACGCGGCTATCGAACGGTTCGAAACCCTCTCAAATCTAGGCACACTATTTTCCGTTCCATTTTGTTCTGAATCAGAATTTGTGGCTTGTGATTCCAAAAGAATGACGACGATAACTCGGCTGGTTTCATCGGCGTGGTTAACGTGGTTTTCTTTCTGTGATTGTGCAGTCGCCGATTTCTGTGAGTGCGGCCCCAAGTGCGTTTTACATCGGCGCTTCAATTTGAAACGAGGGGCTTTACTTGTGAACAGAATTAGGCATGGTGCGGAATTCCGTCCTCCCAACAATTTCTCTCTAAAAGCAGCGCAAACGGGATGTTTTGGTTGTGATTCAAGCATAGATTTTGTCATGATTGTGAGTAAATCTCCGTGCTATAAAGTTTGCGGCATTCGTTACTTTTCGTTTTTCTAACCTGTGCGTTAGATTTTTGTGGGATGGTAGGACCAAGAGGTGTTTCTCGCATGGTCTGTCTAACATCACGGTGCTAACATGGGGAGAAGAAATGCCTTTTTTGTCAGCTCCGCGCCGACCGAGCGTCTTTGGCCGAATATATAGAATATTCGAGTGCCCGAATTCTAGGAATTCGATTCGCGAATCAAATTATTCAGGAACTTTCTATTTGATTCGAATTTGTATATTCGAGTATTCACACACCCCTAATTTAAGCCCTCAATAGAAGAATAATAGTTAATAAAAAATTACAAAAATATATATGCAGATTAAAAGTGTTCTAGGTCTACCCAATAGATGGTACCAGTGAGCTAGTTTTGGAAGAGAATGCAGTGCACTTGGTCACAGTCAAACCCAAATGCGTGAACCAGCCTTTACCTCGTAGCATTGCATCCCATCATTACATTCTAGCATTGCGTTGCAACGTTTCCCTGCAGAGTTACCTAGCAGTCATACCTCGTATCGAGGTTCCAGCTGAGCATAGGTCTTGAGCTGGTCCTTCATGAGCCGGGTGGGCACCTCCTTGATGGAGGTCGTCTGAAGCTCCACAATCCTGGCCAGAAGCCCAAACATGGTCACCGGGATGATGTGCAGCACCTTGCGCACATAGTTCACCAGCTCGTTTGAGTAGTACTGCGACACCGACACCAGGTCGGCACTGTTGGCTTGATTGATGCGAAGTAGCGGCAAGTCCAAAGCTGTGGCCAGCTGTAACAGGAAAAGGTCACAGAGTAGCCATGGCTGCTAACATAATTATGAAGTGTACCCCAATTACGCGTCTCAAAACAATACCGCCTTTAGTTAACTTGGGATCTCCTGTGGCCACCACATAGTCCGGAAACTTTTCAAAACCTGATACATCCTTGTTTTCAGTCCCGGTTTTGCCTATTGAGGTGACGAAGGACCTAACAAACTCCGAAATGCGATCACTGCAGGAGATCTTTAACCAAATAACGGCAATATTGTTTTGGTCATATTTCTTGCAAGTGCTTGTTTGCTTGTTTTTACAAGTTAGTTTGGCCCACTTTCATATGCACGGTGGTCGCCAAACTTGTACGGAACATGGGAACTGTGCATTATTACCTGGGAGAACTATCCTGGCGGGCTTGGTCAAGTTTTGTGGCTGCTCAGGTAAAGATTGAATGAGCAGAAAATAAAAGTTGATCAGGTGTGAAAAGATAGCTGTTTCATGAGATAGTTTGCAGCTCGCGTGTTCCGTACAAGTCTCGGTGACCACCGTGCTTGCAGTTAAACATACACTGAAAAGCCTCAATTTACATTTTAGAAAAAAAGTGCAAACTGCTGTGTTCCAAGGTGAAATTTAACCACAATTTCCATAATTAAATCTTAATGACAACCACAACCACAATGAATATCTCACAACACTGATCCTTATCGTTTTCTCAACACCTCTTTGCTCTAAAAATATGGAATTTTTTTTTTTTTTTTTTTTTTTTTTATTTTAGAGGGAGTAAAAGCTGTTTGCTCCCATTCAGGGTCAACAAAAACCTCACCAAGGGCAGAAAAAAAAAAAAAAAATGGGCTGCAAGTTTGGTTATTTTTCCAAACATGTTTATTTACGACAGCTTCATAGGGTGGGTGGTGCTCTTATTTTGGGTGGTGCATAGGGCAGGATGACCGTTAGTCATTCAGTGACTAGGGTGGCTGGAAGGCTGGCGCTTTCAGTTTACCGTACTGTAATATCCCGAATGCCCGGCCCCCAAAAGACAACCCACCCCTACTTTGGCTCAATTTGCTATTTCTTGAAAAACACCGAGAGACAGCCCACTTCCAGTAATTGCAGGGCCCTGGCCAATGGTGAAATTGGCAGAAATGGTGTTATTTAGAGCCATAACGGGAGATAAGCGAACGCTGCTGACCGGGAAGGGCAGCAGTGTTCAGTTCATCGCCCCTCCCCCTGCAATCACAACTCTTACAGGTCACAAAATCTAAAGCTAGCATTTTTTAAACTTTCTTTGATCACACACTGAGAGTTAACTTACTCCTTACTTTCACCCGCTTTGCTTTGGATTTTAGGTGGGCTATCTGTTCGGATTTTAAGGTAGGTGGTGCCTAGGGCAAGGTTCTGTATGGAAACAGAGTGTGTCACAACATTGCCTCTTTGTGATGCTGCACGCGCTTCCCTTCAGCACAACTCGGATACAAAGCCCCTACGCTGAATTTATCTGGGTCAACAAGAGATTACAAGTGCACTTTTTTGCCCATTTCACCCCTTCTTGTTCCACACACTCTTTCTATACTACCTGTTTCCACTGCTCTTTCTTGCCCTTTCCACACCTCTATGCTCCACGCGTTTTCCAGCACCACCTACTTCTGTTCCTCCCGTTCCTGCGGGCTGGATCCGTAGCTCAGTCAGCAGTGCACTCCGCTTCCACGCCGGTGACCGGGGCTCAATCTCTGGCACCGGTTTCCATTTTGTTTCAAGATCGTTCAACGGTTACGGACTGACCGACCTATGCATTTCATAACTATGCGGCACCTAAGGTTGGTTGTACCCATAAAGCTACCACTTTGGAAAGCAGTAGTGGCTTTTTCATCTAGTTAGACCCAACATAACAGGAAGCACAGTAGCAAGCGATGAGTAGATTCGCATGAACAAGCATGACAAGCAATTTCCAAAATAATTTTAAAATGCCCCGGACGTGTAGAAGAGAAAGTATTCGCTCCCCTCTATACTCTGGTCTCGAGTTCACTTAACGATAAACCGCAGTAGACGCTACAAATCATCCAGTCAATGCAGCGCTGTAAACATATCCCGCGACTACATGTCCCATGCATTGCTCCATGCCTGCACAATGGGTATTTAATGAGCATATGGTATTGAACTGAAGAAAAAAAAGAATGAAACAAACCTTGAGGAACGTGGCCCGGAGTTTGATGACCATCGAAGGGTCGTCTCGGATTCCCTTCTGCATGAAGGGGGTGTAACTGGAAAAGGCACGAGTTCGTCTGCTTAGAGCAACCACTTAGGACCCGGGTTCTCGAACTGGGTTCCTAGGAACCAAGGGGTTCCCCAGAGTTTCCTCGTGGATTTTCCAAACTCTCAAACTTTCCTCGAACACCCCCGTCTTCAAGGTAAGTGTTCTCCAGTTTAAGCACTATCTCCCAGCAGATCGGAGCCTCCCATTCATGCACAACCATGAGCCAAACACTACTAAGCATGCGCATTATTGTTGACAAGGTTTGCAGGCTTCTGCACTGCGGTATTACAACAATGCCGAGATTGTAAAAGTCTCCCAGGCTATTAATAAAAGAGAAAAAAGGGTTCCAAACCCAGACGAAAATCAGTCCACTTCCAGCTGGATTATGAAACTGGAAATGAGCCAGTCCAGCTGGATTTCAGCTGGGTCCAGTTGGATTCCAGCTGGACCCAGCTGGAATCCAGCTGGACTGCTTCATTTCCAGTTCCATAATCCAGCTAGAAGTAAACCGATTTTCGCCTGGGTTAAGTTTAAAGGCCCTCTGGCTTAAGGCAACTTTTCAGAACTCGAGGATGCAACAGTGAAGGACACAGTCCTCTGAGAAAGAAGGCACGTCTAAGTGGCACGAACCCGTCAATGATCTCCCAGGCATAGGAGAGGTCGGCGATCACTTCCAGGGTGACGAGGACCTCCTCTTTGACGTTGATGATCCTCAGCATGCTGTGAAGGAACTGCCGCGTCTCTGCCAGAAACTGCTTCACCTGGAGGTTGGCCTCCAGCTGGTGGTACTGCTCCACCTGAAGAGGACGCGAGACAATGCAAGACTCAAGAAACCACAACGGATGAAATCTGCCGAGACTAATACGCTTTAATGTAACCAGAACCCCACGAGTCTGATTGTGATAGCTTCGAGCCGGCGTAAAAGTATACAGTGAAATCTCGTTGATACGACCCCGCGTGATACGTTTTCCGGTACAATACACTCTTCTTTTCGTTCCCGGCCAACGTCTCATAGGAACAGTGCATGAACAGAGAATGTGTTTTATCAGTCAATTTTTATGAAGATCAGTAACTTCTTAGGCGTAACCTTTGGCTCTAACGAAAGACCGACACTGAAAGCGTTACACCTATAGGAAACCATATAACAAGACCTCAGTTCCCTGGCAGGATTTGAACTCGCCACCTTGATATTGTGAGCCAAGTGCTTTCCCGACTGAGCTAGTGAGAGACGGTGTTTGGTCTCGATGCAAAAAAAGATCCTTTATAAAAGGGCAAAACAGCGCAAAAGGACACGGACAGGGAAGATGTACACACATGGAGCGCCTTGTGTGCATACATCTTCCCTGTCTGTGTCTTTTTGCACTTAATACGCCCGTGTCCCACTAGAGCGACAGACAGAAACAAATGACAGCGACAAGCCTCAAACCAGAGTCTTTCGCGATTTGAGAGGCTTTGAAAAATAAAGGAGGCTATGCTCAAACACGTGCATCATGCACGCGAGGGTATCTTTGGTGGGCTTGAAATTGCTCGTGCTTACCTCACAAGCACCGAACGACCAAACACCTGCCAAAGGCACCATCGCGAGCATGCTGCATGGGTTTGAGGCTTGTCGCTGTCTTTTGTCTCTGCCTGTCGCTCTAGTGAGACACGGGCATTGCCCTTTTATAATGCAAAACCAACTAGCCCAACTCACCCCTATGCTATAAGAAAGAACCTTTTGCGCAGCATTCGAAGGCCGCGCCCCAGGCGCGCTTGTGTTCCTCGCGGCCGTGAAAGTATGTGGGCATGGTGGGCATGTCATGCTGAGCCATCTCACGGCATTTGTCAAGAATGGGTGCGAATCTTTGACACACTTGCTTTACACCATGGAGATGGTGTAAAGCAAGTAAAGCGAATCTTTGACACGCCTGCTTCCACCATGGACATGGCTGCTTCGCAGCCATGGCCATGGTGGAAGAAGAACGAGGAGCTTATAGAGAGTGTAATGAATGACAGAAGCAGCAAAAAACACCGATAAGTGTAAGGCCTATTGCACATTCTGTGCTTGGCAGTCTTTGTCAGCATGATCAAGCATGTATATTTTGATATAGAAAATATGATCATACTTTCATTTGTAATTACTTAGGTAATATGGCTACAGAAGTGAGTTTTAACAGATATTAAAAAATTATATTTTGATATTCCAGTTTACTAGCACCAATCGCGTTGCAATAGGGCACGAATGACCTGTTGCGCGACCGCGATAGTCATGGCTAAAATCAAGTTACAACCAGCCTTCACAAGACTCGCAGTCACGTAACGACTGAGGTAGCTACGCGGTGGTTGGCCGCAACTACCGCAAACAACTGCCCCAACTTCGACACCCAATTTTAAAAACAGTGCCAAATATTGAAACAAAAGAAGCAACCTCAAGCTAATATTTAAAAAAAAGAAAAAAAGTGGGCCGATTCTAGAGGCAGTGCAACAACGGCAGTATTGCACTGCCCATGAGATCAAAGAAAGTTTTTTTACCATATTTTGTGACTATTTCTTGGTTCCCCGGAAAATCATATCAATGAGATTCCACTGTAGACAAAGCTGCTCGGAAAAATAGTTTTAAATCTTTTAAACTTTGTCTCTAGTGTTATTACACTCTGGGCACAGATAAGGCGAGTTCACAAATGTGTTTGAGTATGGCCAAGTGCCTTGTGCCCTCTTGTGACTGCTTACGACCAGAAAACACTGGCACAGATTCTCAGGTAGCCTTGAAACATTTCCGATCTGTGCATAGATTTCTTAAATTTTTTATGCATAGTACTTTCACAGTAGGCTCGAAATAATTCTGACACTGTTTGTTTTAGGTAGTCACAAACGGGCACAAGACGTTCTGCCGCACTGAAATGCAGATGTGTGAACCAGCCTCAAGCGTAACTAGGACCCTAAAAGTTGTTTGTCCGATTGCGACATCTTCGAGCCAGTGGAAAAGCATAGACAAAGCTGATCGGGCAAGTGAATGACAAAATTCTTGATTCTGTTCCCAGAATGTTACATCAACTATACCAGTGTTACTATTGCGTGAGCATTTACGCTACTGCATGACAAGTGAACAAAAAAAAAAGAAAAGAAAGCAAGTGAAGGAGGAAAGATAGTCCATCGTTTGTTACCTCTTCTAGAGCCTGTATGAGCTGCACTATCTTGCGCCCTGTGCCCGTGGTGTCCTCGTAGTCGAGCGAGTCAATCTCCTTGCTCATCTCGGAGAACCATGCTTGCAGGTTCGCTGGAAGACACCACCGGCAAAACAGTTGTTTCTTGTGCCACGAGTAAATCAACAAACTGCACAATGGACCCTGTGCACGCCCAGGACCAGGAAGGCGCAGGAAAGAGATGAAATGCACAAAGGTCTCAAACGCAAGCAAAGTTTACTGTCCGAAAACATGTTTTTATATGTGACCATACATTGAACTCAAGCGGCCCCTTCCAATGGTACTTCACAAATAGTACAATTGACACGGCAAGTTGAAGTCTAAAGAAGAGTGAAATTACATCGAGTTACATAAACGTTTAATTAAAAAAGCAAACTACAAGTTGCTGATTACTGCTCACCTAAAGAAAAAAAAACAGGCCCGACTTTCACCTTTTTTTGTTGTGTTCGTTATGTTTTGATGTTGCTCACGGCGCCTTATCGCAGACACGCGAGCTGGATAACCACCTCGTCACGGGAGCCTAGAGCTCAATCGGTACCTATTTAATGGCTGCGAGGATGAGCAAAGGGCTTTTCCTAGGTCCGGTTGCCACAGAATAAACACTACCAAAGCCAGGCCAGCGTCGTCGATTCCCCCTCCAGAGCATAACAGATGCATCACAACCAAAAAAAAAAAAAAAAAAGAAGCCCTAGACAATTCTTAACGCAGCTTTCACATGGGCTGTAGCACAATAAAAATGCGGGTGCGTACAATAAACTTAGAAGCCTTTCGAAACTTCCCATATTTTGGCCCTTTTCGTCCTTTCTCCATTTAAAGGGTAACTCCGGTGCATTTTCTCGATTTTGGGGTTATGACTGATTTTAGTACAGGAAGTGTCCCTAAATGACAAGGTGTAACATTTTTTTTTTTTTTTTTTTCGATGACTTCTGTAGTTTAGTAGATATTTGATCTCAAAGTTCTGTTTCGGGAATGTACGGCGATACCAAAACTACTGGCTCGAGCATGATGGTAACTCTACTCTGGTGATCAGCTGCATGGCCATCGTGTGAAGCAAATCTCCTTTCGCAGTACAGCAAGACGTTACGACTGGCCTAGTCGCAAGAGCAGTCCCAATCAGTCAGGTTAGATGCTACGGCTGTTTTACTGCTTTACTTCGTAGATATAAAACACCGGTAGCAAATATTAATGCACATTCATAAAGTTGCCAGCCAAAAAACGAGTTTGCTACGATGAACGCAGGCTCAGAACAAGCCCCCACTTACCATATTAACTTAAATATAAGTCTACAATTTTTTTTTTTTTTTTCGGGAATGTTGTCAAAAGTTAAGGGTCGACCTATAATCGTGACCAAAACATTTCGACCTACATTAGTGACCAAATTTAGCGACCCTACCATGGACATGGAGCTATAGAGTCAATAGGCCGGCGTCGCCGCAGAGCCGCGCTGCTTCTTGTGTCAGAAAGATTTTGGTGCACGAAAACAACCGAGCAGCAGCAGCCAGCGGCCCACCTGCCATGGCCGCCACTAGCGCGCATTCCTCCGGCGTCGCGTTTCGCGTCTGTCTGCTGCAAGCACTGCTCACGCATTCTCCTCGCTACGCAAGAGGGAAGGGAAGGGAGAGGAACGCAATGTGCCCTGCTCCTTGCCCCTCCCCTCAGTCCCTCTCTTCCACGCACAAAAAAAAAATATATGGAGGTCATTTGTTTTTGTTGCTCATGGCAGCTCGCGCGTTGCTCACGGCAGCTCATGGCATTGATCGCGTCTTCGTATTTGGTCTTTCGTCACTTCACCCATCTCCACTTTCTTTTGTTTCTTTTTGTCATGATTTTGCAACAGTGTCAGTGAGGTATTGTTGCGAATTTGTAAGGATGTCTACCAAGCTGACGAAGCTTCCGACGACGATGACATGTTCGGAAGGTCTGACAATGATTAAGTTTTGGGCATTGCGCTGTGATTTAGCTGAGAGTGCTGTAAATGAAGATTTGTTTCTTTCTTTTGCCCAAACTATCTTCTGTTCCTTAAAAAAAGACTGACCTATATTTCATTTTGTTTCCTTGTTTTTTTTTTGCTCTCTGTGGTTTAGTAAGTAAGGGTTAACCTGTTTTCGGGTAAATACGGTATCTTCAGAGAAGAACTACAATCTTGGTGGTGTACAATGCACGTTTCAGAAGCGTTGTGGAAGCTGGTCGTAAGTTCGCACCGAGCAGGAACAAACTAAACTATGGCCGCCAGTGAATGCCACCTTCAATCCCATGACGTGCTTGAGCGAGCAGGGAGTCATTGGCAGGGAAAAGCTCACTAGGGGCACTTCTGTTTTCTCACTATGGGTAGTGCATGTGCTACCGATGCGGTTATGTTTTAATTTTTATAGCGCATAAAAGTTTTGCATTGCACGTGCTTGCACAGGCAGAGGAAGTTGAAGTATCCTCATTTTGGGTTGTGAAAAAAATTCCACCAGGCGGCGATACCCAAACTTCTCGCCACAAATAATCTTAGTGCGCGATCGCTGAGAAGCACTTTCAAAAGACTGCCGCTAAAACATAACATAAGAAACAGACATTGTCCACTGGGACAACTAATAATGCAGCAGAAAAACATGATAAAAGAACTGGAAGCATGAACAAGTAGCCTGCTTGGCCAGGCTTGGCCACCTTGGTTACAAATAAGTCTAGTATGTTGTTGGGGCACAAGCGTGCTTGACAAACAGTCAACCAGCTCAAAAGCTGGTGGTAGTGTTTATAATATTGGTTTTCGAGTGGATCGCAGTTTTCCATTAGTGCAATATTTTGGCAGTGCTCGTATTTATTCTCCGTAAATCAGTATCAGTAATTCATTTTGGTTAGACTTTTGTCCGGAGTTACCCTTTAAAGGATTTCATAATGTTTTCAATTCATCCATTTGTTACTTGTATGTGTCTGTAAATGTCCAAACTGAGCAGACCCATGAATTTCATGTTTCAGGAACACGCAACAAAAAACAGAGAAGGCCCCCCACCGTTCTTCTCGACACGGGTCAGAGGCTTTGTCCCGGAGTAGACTTCGGACAACTCCGCCAGTCGTTCTGTGCTCTCCTTCTTGAGAGAGCTCCACTTGTCGTGCTTTACTGACAGCAGGTGCCGAAACAGCTGCAGTTGAAGAATAGTAGTGCAGCTCAGTTCCCAGCTGGTAGCGTCATCTCAAAGACATTCATTCAAACACAGAGTGTAAGCGTAGTTTGAAGAGCCCAGAATGTGCACCGACTGCATGTTTTCTTAGAACTAGACATTAGTGCTACGCACCAGCAGATGGGCATACCGAAGCGCAACTCTTTTCGGGATATTTCCCATTGGTGCCAACCAGCAACGTATGTAGCGGAAGACTAGAAGATGACTATATGAAGAGTGCTTTGTCTGTTGTCATCTTTCAAAGGTTCTGCATGCGCTGCACTGTCTGTCGTCGACATTGCACGGACAGACCAAAGTTTATCTCTTACAGCAGTGTCCAGACAACATTTCTGACATTTCTGGTAAGAAAATTTTCACCATCCCTGTCTGACATGAAACACAACTTTCGCTGATGGGGTGAGCCCAAAGATACAGTCAAACAGTCAAAAGCATGGTCAATGCAGTTTTTTTGCTAGTGGTCACTCTTGTGTATGAATAGCTAGTATTATATTTGCACAGATGCATCCCCACAGTTGTGTTCCAAATCTTACCCAAATGAATACAAGTTACTCTGGTGGGTCGTGTCACGTGACAACACAGGCCGAAAAATGCTGGATGCGGGTAGGTTTTAGAAAGCCAAGGTACAAAACCCTTACCCTGGAGTAAGACTGATAAAATTTTGAAACACAGCCTAAATCATATGTGCCCAGTTACTTCTATACAGGGATGGGCAAAATACATGCAAATATGTATCAAAATACAATTACAAAATACTTCGTCAAAAATGTATTTATTACAAATCTAATTACATTTCCAAAAAAAGCATTTCAGTACAAGATACAAATACAACCAAATGTATTTGGTCTCCTCCAAATACTTTTCCAAATACATTTCTCAAAATTTGCGTCAGCGACTTCAAGGCAGCTGCAACGGGTTTCTGGGCATCTCATTTTAATTTTGCATTGCACACTCGGGAGTTAGTGTGCGATGCTCTAGTAGCGTAATAGAAATATAATCACAAAATAATGTAATCAGCTTGGACGTAATAGGTGAAAAAAGTACAGAGCTTCAAGCAGCTTTTTTTTTTTCGATTACATTTTGGTTTAGACCAACAAAAGAACCGAGACGACCAAGACGCCCAGCACTAGCTAGAGAATTTTTTATTGTTGCAACTCGCCCCAGTTACGAAAATCTGGACGACCCGCGCATTTAGAATGTTCCAGGCAAAAATATGGATGGAAATCAGGCTGGAAAGCATCACAAGTTGTCACAGGCACTTATTTAGCCAGTCTGCCTGTGAACATAGATTTCGTCACTATTCTTGCCCTGGACTAGCACCATAATCACAAAGTCACTAAACGCTTGTGCTTGATTGAGAGACACTGCATTCGGTGCAGAACGTAGTTTTCTTCGTGCTCTGGACACGTCTCAGGATGAGCAAAATGAGTCTTGACAATAAATTTGAGGGATGTATTTTCGCCCACAAAATTGTATTTAATTACAATTGTATTTGAAATACCCACGTTTTAGTATTTAAATACACAGGTCAAATACATTACCCAATTTGTAATTAAATACAAATGCAAAATACACAAAGTATTTGAAATACGTATTTCAAATAATTGTACATATTTGAAATACTGCCCATCCCTGCTTCTATATGTACTTTCTTGTATGCACATGGCAAAAGACCTAGTGAAACCATTCAACTAGGACACGATGACCACAGTAAGTTGTATGGACACCACTGAAGTAGAGCAGGCTCGCAGGGTACTGACATAACAGTATCCACATCCATCCAGCACCTACTCAGGGTTCAAGTGCTCAACACGAGCATCTGAGCTGGGTTCTGTTTAATTGTTTGTCAGAATAAAAAAAAAAAGGAGCGAAAAGGTTGTGAAATGCTACGCACTTCTTTTAGCTTGAGTTCAAACTGTGCGGCGTGCAAGAGAAGCTGAAACACGCTCAGCGGCTGGTACTTGTTGTCCTGGTGGACTTGGTCCCTCAGTTGTCGGCACTTTTTGCTGGACTCCACTCCAGCTGAAACACAGTGCAATCACAATCATATAGTAGCACACGTGCAGGGATAAACAGAGCAAATGTGTGGCGACAATTACTTGCTAGAGGCCAGACCTCTGGCAGTAAAAAGTATAGAAATCGTGATTCCTAAGCTGTCATAGTTGACAGTATGGTTACTCAACCTGACCTTGAGGCATTAATAAAATGACAAATTCTGAGTGTCTAAAAAATGCAACAGTACATAAAAGGAAAGGAGTTCCAACCTGAGAAAGTTACTATTTCATTTCTTTCTCTTACAAATTAGGGATTAATTTATAACACTACCCCTTTATAAACATTATGTGTGGGGTAAAATTTTTGCATTTACACACTTAGCACAAATGCCATTTTAGATGCCAAAATGACATGGCATGGTACTGTGGCACGTCTCCATTAACAGAGGCGCACCCATGGCTGATTGTGGTGCACCACAGTAACCATGCTCTATAAATTGCAAACTTTTTTTACTGCGCTTTTGGCATGCCTTTTGCCAAAGAAAAAGCACCCTACGAAGCTCACTCAGCACAAAGAGCGACGCGACCGTTCTTAGGCCTAACCATTTTCACGATACCACTCTGCAAAAGAGAATCACAGACGGCGGCGTGTTTGTTGACATCAATGAATCCAATGGACGAAGAACGTTTGGGGCTGGGCAATTCCTTGACCCCAGCTTCATTAGGAGTGCGCGCGCTCAGTGTCACGGTTGATCACTGTCACAACCCCGGAATAGACTACTTCCATAAAGCCCTGCATGCAACACGGCGCGCGTTGCATGCAGGGAACTAGTTGGCCAGGGAGGAGGGTGGCATGGTTTCGGTTTCGATCGACACGTCAACAAGAGATCGTTTTCTGGTCCCGAGAGCGTCATTTGTGGTCTCTAAACTAACCTAAATTGCCAGACCTCGAAGCTTTAGCACAAGCCTGAGACGTATAGCTTGGCTTAACACATGCTTGTTGTATTTTAGTACTTGAGCCTTCCTTTTAGCGCTCCAATCGAGGTATGTGGACGAGCCAGTGCTGGGGATCTCGACGCTGCGAAGCTCGGGGATCTTGCTTGTGAACGAATCAACGAGCTGTAGCAACCAATTAGTACGCATACATCGAGCTCGCGCCTTTACATTAGTGTTGTTGATCAGGAAGTTTGTTTGTTTCGTGCGTCCATAGACGAAATATTACTTTTTGCAATTACCGTTTTTCTTAATATGCCTGAGTATGCGAGGTAAACCTTGGAGGCGCCACTGAAAAGCTCAATTTAACACACCTCTTATCTCTTACTGACCCGCAGCACTGCACGAAGTGAAGTCCCCACCCGCTTGCTTTCCACTAATATTCAACATCGCGTATGCGCATAGAGTTATCCTGCAATGCCACATACAGACCGTTTTAAGAAAGAAAAAGTTAAGCACTTGTGTGAAGAATGTCGCACCGTTCGCCGGAAGTGCGCCGGACGGGCATGAACCCCTATGCGCACCGCATAGGGGTTCACGCCCGTCCGGCGCACGGTGCGACATTCTTCACACAAGTGCTCGAACGAATTCAAAGCGCGTTTGACGGTTGCTAACGGCCATAATATTTGTTATGTGTTTGTTTTCTTTCTGCCTGAGTATGCCGAGATAATTTCAGACACACCGTTGAGGCACAGATCTTGAGCGTCAGTAAAAACTCGTGCAAAAAGGCTTAGCGAGGAGTAGGGGACGCTTGTTAGGGCCTCCGTCGTAGCTAGCCGATCTCAGCGTTTGCGAAAAGTTAATCTTCTATCAGCATAAAATTTTAGTGGGAGATATATGATGACACGAGGAAGACATCATAGTAATTTTGTGCAGTAGTGAGGTCGAATTTATTGCGTTTCCTTAAAATTTTATGCGTAAACGCTGGGCTCAATTTTGATACCCTGTGAGGATGCGGCTTGCTTTTCGCCCAATGAAGTAACAAGAAATGGACGTTTGGCAAACAAAATACGTGCAGGGCTCAAGGTGACCAAATTTCAGTTGTAGTTCACTGGTACTAAACGGGATTATTGAAATTGAGCTCAAACATGCACTCGTGGGGTGAGGTGACAAAGCCACGACTTACTACGTTCGCATACGCACGCACAATATCCGGTGTTTCGGGAACCAAGGAAAGTGCCCCGGTCTTCGTTTTGTATCGCTCGAGAATAAGTGTATTGTACGTTCGTGATAAGTCAGATAACCGAAAAGGCAAGCAGCGCGTTCGGTCGCGGCGTGATAGCATGAGATGAAGCTGCTAAGTCGAAACCGAAACTGAGTGGCCAACTAGTTCCCAGAGTGCATTGCGCGGTATTTCGCCGCAATGAGGCGCGTCGGTTTTGGAAGTAGTCCATTGCAGCCATTACGAGACCGCCTTGGCTTGGCTTGACTTGGCCACTTGGCGGCAAAAGAAAATTGATGGGCTTGGTGGCTAGCTGGCTAGCTAGCTAAGTTGGACGCAGTTCAAGAATCGCAGATCCAAAAATTAAAAATGCGTTCATTATGCGAGAAAAAAAAAGTTTAAATATTGATGGCCGTTATAGGGGGTGCATTCATTATGCGAGTACATAAGATAGTCAAAACAATGTTTTTGCTAAGAAGTGATCTTAACGAACTGTAAAAATTAGCCACACCAGAGCTGCAAGCCACTAGGCAATTTTCCCTGCATACCTTGCGAAAGGTTGACAGTGTGCAGAAGCGTCCAGCGCAGGGTGACGTTGCATTCTCGGACAGTGTTCAGCAGTTTGGGAACATTGTCCAAGACAAACTCCTCCACCAGTGCGCCCTCCTTCAGCAGCTGCTGCAGCTTTGGGATGAGCTTCATCGTCCGGTTGTGGTGCTTCACTGCCTGACAGTTCAAGGGTCAAACAACGAAGATGCAGCTATCTGGGAGGGATCATTGATCAATATGCTTTGCACCACGTCTTCAGAATACTTTGGATAATTAAAACGTGTTTCTCGCTGACAGATGAGGGGCACAATGGTTAGAAAGTTATCATTCCTAATACATCAGTAGCCACTGCAAAGGACCTTGCTGCTGACAGCGTACCTCCTGCAACCCAAGTTTTGCACCACCGAATTTGTTTTTCTCAGGAAAGAACATGTCGGAGTGCTAATTGTTATGGTGAGATGAAGTCGCATGCAAACCATGTACTATGGCAGATACAGCCCAGTGTTTGAATGCAATATAAATTTTAAATAGTGCGAATCTGCACATTTCAAATTATCAAAGTCCCAAGTGGAATCTTCTTGTTCACCAATTACTTAACGCAGTGGTTCTCAAATGGGGGTCCGCGGACCCTTTGGGGTCCACAAAGGCATTCTAGGGGTCCACGAAGCCCTGCCTCATCAGTCAAGCCCGGCAATAAAAGTTGTCTTTTTTCAGATCAACAAGGAATTTTTCCATTTTCGGGCTAGTTTTCTTAAGCGCATGTCAATAGGAGAAGTCTACTTCACACTAGCCCTTAGTGAAATACATTTATTATATCATAATTATTATAAATAAAGGGCAAACGCCAACCAATCCCTAAAAGATCGTAGGGTCCCAACGTTTCGGTGCCGGCTCGGCACCTTCTTCAAGGGGGCTATTTAAACGAGAAGCAGCTTCTTTCTTTTTTTTTTTCTGCGGTGAATGTAGGGCAGTATCTTCGTTTTTTAAGGTAGTTAGTTTTCAAACCAGGTGCAGTACCTTCGTTTCCTTCAAAGTTGGTTATTTACAAACATGATCAGCATCTTCGTTTTCCTCTATGGTAGGGGCCTGTTTCTTTGGTGTCTCCTCTAGGTGTCGTAGTCCACTGACGCATGCTGAGGGCAAGGTGCCGGAGGATCGATTAATATTTCGTGGTGTGGTCTGTATGCGCCATGACTTAATAAAGAGCCATTGCCGCCAGTTGGTTTCTACATCCAGGATTCGGGCATTTTCAAAGTCGATGCGGTGGTCATTGTCGTCGCAGTGTTCCACAACAGCGCTACGCTCTCGTAAATAACGAACTTTGAAGAAAACGAAGGTACCGCACCTGGTTTGAAAACTATTCACCGTAAAAAACAAAGATACTGCCCTACATTCATCGCAGAAGAAAAGAAAGAAGCTGCTTCTCTTTTAAATAGCCCCCCGAAGAAGGTGCCGAGCCGGCACCGAAATATTGGGACCCTACGATCTTTTAGGGATTTGTTGGCTTTTGCCCTTTATAACATTTAACCCAACCAGGCAGACCTCTGCCGAAATGTTCACCTTCAAATTTATTATATCATTATTATATTTAACCTATACCTTTCCCCTCTCCTCACCATGAACAGGGTCCTACATCATCTCCGCCGATCCACAAGGGGTCCATGAAACATCGATGGTTGAGAACCACTGACTTAGAGGATGTGGGAAGGGAAATCTTTGTGGAGATTTCTCATTTAATTTCTTATCTGATGCCAAAGGAACCCAACCAAAGATAATTGCTACATATCTGTGCAGTGCACATTACAATGCACATGACAATATTGTAGGTCTTCTTCAGGACACTTTCGAGCATTCCTTCTTTTACATTTGAATTTAAAGTCCTATAAAAGTTTATAAAATAATGACTAATTTTTGCTGCACAGTCTTGGTACCCCAACGTCCATCAACAAATAAACACAGCCCCTTTCGTTTGCGCTGCTGCACCAAAACTTATCATTAAAAACAAACAAAAAACATTTACTTGAGAGCTGTCACACAAGTTTGCATTAAAAAGACACGACTCTGCAGCATCACAAAGCCAATTTCCAGTGCGAAAAGACGGCGACAGGCGAAGTCAGAGGCGTGATTTAGAGCCTCACCTGATCTCTGACGTTTCCAGCATCCAACGTGTTTAGTAGTGCCTGTCTAGCTGCCTTGTATGGCTCCCAGGCATCCACAAGGTTTACGGTCATGCCCATGTAAATGCTGATCACCTGCACCAATCACACCCAAAATTAGAAGAAAAGAACAAGCATAAAATGACAAAGACGAGGTTTCAAACGCAGCCAAACTGGATTTATGACTATGCGTACACAGTCGAGACTCTCAGCTCACAAAGGCTATTAAGTCGAAGAGTTGGGTGCGACTTTGTACTGTTGCACAGAATTAATGGCTAGATAGACAGTAGCTTGCTGTCTCTTGACTTTCACGTTTTTCTGTGTTCCAGTAGACACACCTGTTTGTTTTATCCTGGCTCTCAGGAGACACTTTGTCCAATCTCACATATTCAACTGTCTTTTAATACCATACCATCACACACTTCTTTGGATGCTTTTACAGACTTTACAACTAGAAACCCTGCTTTTCACCTCATAAACATTGTTTTCCTATAATGTGTTGTTCACAATGTACAAAGGTATGTGCCCCACATCAAAACTTTGGTAGTTCTGGGGCACGGAATAAGAGAGTATGTATGTATGTATGTATGTATGTATGTATGTATGTACCTATGTTTCTAGTGGCCCAAGGTGTCAAATCTGCACCAACGAAACAACTCAACCTCACCTCACAAAATATTTTTTATTTATTTATTACCTACATAGGGCATTATGGTAGGGGGATTTCATAATGCAAAAAAGTTTTTCACATATACAAAAAAAAAAGAAAAGCTTTTCAAAGCACAATATTTCACAAAACTATAATATACATACGGGAATACTACCGTAAAAGAGAAGTTCATGCGTATGTTTCTTCTGTCACAGCGAGATAAAAATAAAGCATAAATTCCTCTTTCTAACATCAGTCTTCCTTGCCTCAAAAAAAAAATATAAGCATGACTTGGTTATACCTGATGAACTCAGACACACAAGGTGTTGTGAATGGGTCGGTCACAAGGCTGTGTGTGCAACGTCACGGTGTCACATAACATCTTGGTGTCATTTGACATGGCGACGTCAGTGTCACATAAACTCCGATGCCAAGGTCATACAAGCAATATAGCCCCCATAGGGCTGTACTGCTTACGTGACCTTGACCTGCATGTCAGTCAAGCGTAATGTGGCGCTTCTAATTAAACCCAGCCCTATATTCCATACTGTTATAATTTACACACACGTTCATGCAAGCGAACACAATGAGATACAGTAGCTTTATAGGAACATCGTTAGTGAAAATAACTAGGAAAGGAAATGGTACGATGATGAAATGGTTGTAATTTGCCATGCACACATTGAGGACGACATCAAGGACGTCCTAGAGGACGTCAAGAACAAAATCTAGCACGACCTCTAAGACGACCTCAAGGACAATGTATAGGATGACATCGAGGAGACCCTCTAGGATGACGTCCTAGAGGACAATGTCAAAAGCAACGTCTAGGATGACCTCAAGGACGACAGGTCACGTCAACTTACGGGACCGGCACTAACTCGACTGGTACCTACCAAAACCGGCGCTTACACGACCAGCGCTTTGGCCACGATCACTTCAGCCACGGGTATTATGCGACCTTGATGACGTGACCTTGAGCATGGTTGGGCCTATAAAGCTACAGCTTTAAAAAAGAGGCTCCCCAGAATGATCCTTAACGAATTCGTCTCAGCATATGAAACCGTTCGCCACTTTCATAACATTAAAAAACATATTTCCACGGTCAAAATTCCCACGGGTGCTCTTATATGAAATTATTTGGTACAGCTCGGATATCAGCCGCAAAAAATGTTTTAAGTGGTGCAGAACAAAAAAATTATTGAAAAAAAGAACTTAAAGGGGACTTACCCAGTTGTCCGGAAAGTACTTGTCGACAATCTCTCGCATCTTGGCCTGCTCGTTGTGCAGGACGCCCGGCGTGAAGTAGAGCACGACGTACAACATGGCCGCCTGGGTGGCAAGGGCCATGCTCCGGTGCTCCGGGAGCGGGTATGCCGAAATCTGCGGGGCGACACGGAACTTTCAAATCTGGCTCTGTCGCCACAAGCTAGTGGGGATTTCCAAAGCTTCAAGTTGTTGGGGTGCAACTCGGACAGCACTACAGCCAGTTCTAGTATAAATATTGTGATCTCCGGAGAGACGCCCCGCCCCCGAAAGATAACCCACCCGTGTTTACATGATTTGTTGTATTTTCCAATACCCAGAAACATACCCCAGTTCTGGTATTCCCTCTGCCCGGGTCAATGGTGACCTCTGCAGAAACGGGATCACTTAGCTAGGGCACGAGATAAGTGAACAATGCTGACGGGGGAGGACAGCTCTTTTGGTCCATTCCCCCTCACTGCAATAGCGACCTTGGCGAAAACTGGGTTATAGTTGCAGCGGGAGGTAAGCTTTTCGTGACCGCACGCCGAAAGTTAGCCCACTACCCATTTTTCATTAAAGGGGCCCACCAACAATTTTTTGACCGGTTTGAAGTTCGCACTGAAACGGAGCTCCATGAAAGCAGGAACACCGAGGAAAAAAAATATTACAGAAATTCACAATATTTTGTGAGTTATTAGCAAAATAAATATTCCAGAAAACAACTTTAAATAAGCAAAACATTCCGCTTCATGACGTAAAATGAAACAGTTTAGCGATTGGAGCAAAGCGGTTGGCCAATTGGACGCGAGTTTGGTTGATAGCCCGTCGGCCCGGTCGGCTCGTCGGCCATTAGGCCTAGCTGCAACCATCGTAGCTTTGGGATCGGGTTACCATCATCGATGAATTTACCGGGCTTATCGGATTTTGAGTACGGATCTGGGCGTCGCGCCGTACGAGGACACTCCACGCAAGCGCCGCGACGTGTCTCTGCCTCAGTCCGCGTCGACAGCCGCGGAAGACTCGTCTCCCGCAACTCCGCCACCGGAGCCACCTCGGCGAGTAGGAGGTACAAACTGGTGAGCGGTCGGGCACCATATAAGCTGGGTCCCGTCACCGCACTTCACCCGAACAGTGAAAAGTGTGTCACAGCACTAAAAGACCCTGGCTACTCTTACTGCTTTTAGGTGACCGGGACCGGGGGCGCACAAGTGAAAATACGATGCGCGTTGCCTGCACAGATCACTTGTCGTCTGCTCGCGATGGCACGTCGCGGACGCCGCTGTGAGGCGCGCATGAGCGACGAGGCGTTGTTTTCGCCCTTTTCGAAATTTACTTGCAACTTTAGTAGCTCTATAAAAAGGACTTGTTAGAGAAATAATGATGGTTAACGTGTGATATACTTTATTTCGCTTCAAAATTCATTGGACGGCTCTCGCCAATCACGAAACCCAGAGAATGTGACGTATTGTGAAAGGGAGCGCCGTTATGCGCGCGCATTCGGCACCTCGCGGCGCCACCGTCGGAGGAGGTGTTTCCGAGTTGTCAAATTAAAATATGATGCACTAATATTTTTAAACTCTTTCGTTGTTCACTCGGTTTCCGGGACCACTAGCGCGTAGAAACCGCAAAAAAAAGTCGACGCTCAAATACTGTTGGAGGGCCCCTTTAAAGGGGCCCTGCAAGCACTTTTTTACTAATTTTTAATTTGCACCAAACTTGAGCGCACGGACCGTAGTAACTTAATGTAACTTTTCTTTTCTCGAATTTCGCTTTATTTTAAAAGTTATAGGCAAATTAAAATTACAAAAACAAGCAAAAAATAACCTCCCTCATGACGTCCTTGGTTGCTTGAGTGGCCGTGAACTAGAGGAGGGATAGTGAGCTCAACGAGCGCTCACAGCTGCCGCGCTGCCGTGTTGACGGCGCGAGAGGGCGCCACTAAAACGTGTTCTGGATAGGCTGTATACAGCCGGCAGCCAGAGCGGCTCTCATTGCGTTTGCTGCGTGATTAAACACTAATTCGGCATGACACTTCATTGGCCATAAACGACAGCAAACACGGGGTAAAGATCAGTTCAGAATGGGAGTCCCTTCGCACTGCCGTACCGCAAAATGGCCAAGATACAAGACAAAGCTACTCGCTGAAAGCCTTCGGAACGCTCAGAGCCGGTCGAATCCTTCAGTCCGTAAACGACCGCAGCGCCGCCGCGTACATCCGGGACCTTTCCATGTCGGCGCCTGATCCCACTACTATTTTCTAGTATGCGCCGCCTTATCCACCGCTTGGTGGCGGGTATGTCGACGGGTCATTTCTTGTTTCCGTACTTTATGAACTGCATTTGTTTCTTTTCTGATCTAAAAATACTGAACAAAAACTACTTTTATAAATAATTGAAACGGTTCGCGCCACTTATATTTTGTATTTCGACTAAAAAGAAGCTTTTAGCCGCTCTGACCAGTAGTAAGCCCAGGACCAAAGACGTCACATTTCAAGCGCTTTCGGTACCGCGGGTCGCCCCCGTCGATGGAGGAGGTTTCCGCGTCGTTCGGTTAAAATATGATGCACTGATATTTAGTTACTCTCTCCGTGCCCGCTGGCTTGCCCGAACCCCAAGAGACGTGGAAACCGGAAAAAAGGTAGACGCTTAAATATGATTGCAGGGTCCCTTTAAGTTCCAGGCTTCCTTTTTTTTTTTTCCAACACTTCTCTCTCTCTATCCATTTTCACACGACTTGCTCTCGATTTTAGGTGGGCTACCTCCCCGGATATTACGGTGGGTGATATCTTGTCCCGTAAGTCGGTTCAATCTTTTCTATAGACATTTAGGTCCTTTGTCCTATGAGTATACTATCTCAAGTGCCCATCCTAGCAGTCAAAGTTTAACAGGAAATTTTTGTAGAGCAAAGCGAAGTTGTGGTGTTCCCAGAAACATTTGAGGGACTGATCTAACAGAAATGATGAAACATGTAAGACATTTTACGGACTGCACCTTTCCGACGAGGTTCGTGACACCACTCTAAAGAGGTCCTACAGCAATTACTACAAAAAATGCATTTACTGGAATTATAATTTCAGAACCATACTTACAAGCACAAAAAAAAATCATGTAGGCAGATTCACTCAGGCAGAGCAGTGCCAGCTCAGCACTTAATGCTAGAAACAGCAGTGACACAGCACTGCCTTGAACATAAGTACTGTATCAAAGATATGCACTATTACGGTGCAAAGTCAACAACGCATCAGCTCAAGGCCAGCGTTATTTTCAGCGCCGACATAGTGCTGCAGCCCACGTGTCAACAACTCCTTATGATGAATCACTAAATAACTTGCACACATTTTCTCTGGAGACTAACGTACTAAGCCTAATGCCATTACTCCACCAGCTCTGGACAAAGAACAGGCGCACTCGCCTGGTTGTACACGTCGTCCGACCGGAGGCGTCCGAGCACCATGCTCACGAAGGTCTCGTTCAGGGGCACGCGCTGGAAATAGTCCTCGGGGTAGTTGGCGGGCCGCTTGGCGCCCGGAGCAGACGAAAAGCCCGTGCCCCTCAGGAGCTTGCAGACGTCGTCGAAGTTGGACTCGTCACTCGAGCTCTGAGCGCTGCGACGGGGGAAAAGAGAAGTGGTTGAATACGACACCAGGACATACAAAGTGCACTTCCTTCACCACAACTGGAAATTTTTCGGGAGCCAAAGCCTAAATAAAAGAATAGCTTTGCTGACAGTGTCACAACAGGTGCACTGACATACAAAGTACCTTTGGGTAAATGCAAATGAAAAAAAAAAAGAGGAAAGCCTCAGCTTTATTCTTTCCAGTATGCTATTTAGCATCACAAAATATAGTTATTGTGAAATCGACACATGAAAATCTTGCCAAAAATAACATTCAAATATACCCGCTTTTTTCAGTGCCATAAAGTCAGTTGCAGCCAGGCTTGCAGATCAGGCGAGCAGTCGAAGAAATTAAATATGCTGAGCATTTATATCGTGCTGCTGCTGCATGGGTGCTAAAGACAGCTTTTAAGGCAGTCATCTGAGATCATGAAAGTGCTTATAATATATTGGCAACTAATAAACCATTTGCAGTATTCCCAAGCGCCCCAACCTGCACTCAAGGAATCATGGGAATGGTGTTCCTTCAGCTCCCTAGTAATTGCTAATTTTGGACCAATTCCATGGTTACACAGTTTTTGAGTGTAATTCGAGGTCACCCTGAACAAGCACCTGATATACCCCAAGGACCTGTCATATCACTTTTAAAATTGCTCGTCGATGTCAGCATTTTTGATAACGCGCATGCGATCCACCTTTCAACCTGGCTGAGCTACAGAAATCTCTTGCGATATTATCATTCTCGTGATTGTTGTTTCAGCAGGCATTGCTTTAAAAGCCGATAATTCACAACAAAAACCAGGATTTAGCTCGGAGTCAGCGGGGCTGTTTATAGCATTTTTACCGTTTCTAACTTAATATCAGCATGATAATAATGCAAGAGATTTCTGCAGCCCATCCAGGTTGAAGGGTGGACAGCATGCACAGTATCAAAAACGCCGATATTGAGGAGAAATTTTAAAAGCGATATGACAGGACATTGGGGTATATCAAGCGCGTGTTCAGGGCGACTCCGAATTACGCTCAGAACATGTGTAACCAAAAATAGGGTCGAAATTGCCGATCACTAAGGGGCTGAAGGAACACCATTCCCATGATTCTTTCAGCGCAGGCCGGGGCACTTGGGGGATATAGCAAATGGTCTACTCTACAGTCCAAAGAGTGAACCCCTGCCTGCTGCTGGCATCAATTTTTCACTGTCACCAATAGAGACCCATTTTGAAAAACACAATGAAGACGAAAATTGTAAACTCAATAACTTTTTGAACAAAGATTATTCTGGCCCAATATTTGGGTTATTATTTCAGCGATGTTTGTTTGTATGTCTAGCAAATTTTCAGACAAATTGGGGACAATAAAAAAATGCCAGAGTACCCATTTAAAAGTGAAATCTTTCCTCGGAGCAGACACTACCTTCCTTATGTATCACTGTTAACGAAGTTTGTAAGCTTCTCATCATTTCTCACCTTCTTCACTGTAAGAACGCCCAGCAATAGGGTGCATGCATCGCAGCGCAATAAGCACCGCACCGACTTTTCGCTAAGCGTGTGCCGACGGCTGTGTTCACCAGATTTGTATCGCACCATCAAAACCGTTGCTCATAGAAGACACTAAGTAGCTGACGACACGTGAACAGCGCTATTCGTGACTCTAGCGCCCTATAGCGGACGCCAACATCGGGCAAATATGGCGATCTAATACAGGTCGTGCTGTGCCATGAACCAGCTCAACACACAATGCTGGGCCATCAGCAAGCAAGCATTGGACTCAAAATGGTTTTCCCCACTTTTTATCCTTCACGTTTCGAACCTGCGGCGACACGTGTTAGCATAAGCAAGCTTCCAGAGGCTCGACTTTCTTTGAGGAAGCGATGAAACGACTGCCTACTGTCCTTCTACGGTGCTGATGAACGTCGATAAACGCAGAATGTCTGGTTCATGCGGTTGCGTAGGTTGTGCACACAGCAACCTGGGAACAAGCTGATACTACTAGAGTTACAACAGAGCCACCGGGGCAGCTGCTCTATAGCGCAAACCATTGACATGTAATCACAAAAGCCACAAGAGATGAGCAGAAATCGCGAAAAGACCTGCTCCGGCCAGTTCAGTGTCTACTAAAGGCTCTGTTATACTCCGACGTAACGCGCGCGCAGGCGAACGCTGGCCGAAGTTGGCTACGTCACGTCAGTCACGCCGCGCACGTCAAAAATTCGCCCTCTTTATACTCTGGCGGCCGTGGCGACTCCCGCGGCTGTGCGTCGGTAGGCCGCCGGCGTGGCGCATGCGCAGAATCTGACTACGAGGGCACGTTTCCTGCGAGAGTGCGCCACTTCCGGTTCCTTTTTGTTTCAAATAGCAGACGAAAATGCTCGCGCTTCATGGGCGCCAAGTTCGAGCAAAGGCGTGGACGTACCTTGCACGACGAAAACTCGCGCTTGCACTGTTGGTGCAACACCTGCGCCGCAAGCGTAGGCGGCCAATGTACATACGGTACATCTTTGACAAGCGCACGGTCTACGGTACTCAAGCTTCCTCGTGTCGTAGACACACGGGTGAGGACGAATTCCCTCGATCAGATTCTCGACCGACCGAGTCCGATTCTTCAAACATGACGCCATACGTTGTGGTGCTCCTGTCGTCTGCTTTGCTCGTATTTGCCGCGCTTCCCGCGGGAGGGCTGCCGGGAGCCAGCGTGTGATGCATCCTGGTCCGGCGTCGCTGACGCGGCCGGCGCGGAATACGGCATGCTCCATTTTGGCGCCGAGGCGGTTAGGCTGCGTCGAACGCCGCCGGTCGCGTTGGTTACGCCAAGACACCGGAGTATAGAGCGTCGGGTTTTCGCCAACGTGGCGTCGCTGTGACACGCACGCGTTACGTCGGAGTATAACAGAGCCTTAAGTGCCGTTTGTTTTGCTGGAGTCGCCAATATCAGCACTATTCGCGACTCCAGCGACCTATAGGGGGCGCCACCACCAAGCAAACATGGCGGCTGAGTCCAGGTCGCGTCGGCTCGGCCGGGCCGCCTGAATGGGTGGCGCATTCAATTTAACAAATTTTATTTTGTTGAATGCCCAATTTTATGGGTATTTGAACTGAGACAGTTAAGTGTAGCCGGTGCGCATAAACGTGCCGAGCATAGTTTTGTTTTGCCAGTGTTTTTTGTTCTTTTCATGTCAAACTTTCGTTTCGGAGACTTCGATCGAAACCGAAACTATGGGCTCCGGAGAAACGGTAATAGACTCTAATTAGTTTTGATCATCTAAGGAAAGCGGCGAGGGCTACAAAATTGTTCCACCGAGAGTAATTTTTAGCTAACTCGCATGCCTCGACCATGCGACTAATCTGTCCGCGAAATTGAGCTTTCGTGCCTGTCCGCGTTTCAAGAAACAGCTCCAGTCGTGTGCTCGGTCAAGAACACAGGCTGCAGGAAAATTACGAAAATTAAGCAAGCGTTTCTTGAGCCAAGGAGCATGTCAACTCGCTGGCGCTTCACTAAGCAGCTGATACTCGTATTTCAATTCAGGTTTTAGTAGCAATCGAGAAGTCATTTTGACGAATATGCGGATTATGTATTATATTACGTACTATGTCCCACTAAAGCGATATTAGTATATTCCTCGGGCTGAAATATGGATTTAGTTAACTAACTATTAGGTGAACTGCTGAATAAAAGTACATTTGACAGACAGAGATACTACTTAAACTCAGCCAAATGGTTCTAGCCGGTAGAACGGAGACGAATGCGGACAAACTGAGGGGAGTGTACATCGGAGATTCACTCAGACCTCTCTGCATTGAACTTGACTTGGAATCCTGAACGGATAAAATGAGTATTTTTTTTTTTGTGGCCGGTCAACCTGAGCAATGTGGACGTATATTGCTGCTGGCTTCGACAAGGGTTATAATATAAATATTGGAGGCGCGATAGATCCTAATGACGTGACAGCTTCTAACTTTGCAAAACGTCCCCCCCCCCCCCCCCCCCCCCTTTTTGAAAGCAGATAATTGCCCTCATTAATCATATGCAGCAAGCAGGTTTTCTGAATCAAGTAATTGCGAAATTAACCCAACTCCTTCAATGTGATCTTTTTCGGCGAAAAGCCGCCAAGATGAATAGCCAACGCACCGGCCGGCGTTAGTGGCTCAAATTAACTTGAAGCCAATCGAGCACAACCAAACTCAAGGAAAGCAGCTATCGAACCTTCCCATTCACTTGACTGCAACATTGGTGTTCCCTCCAGTGAAATACTTCGTCTGTCGTCCTCAGTCCACTGTTCTACGTCCTTATAAAGAAACCACTTATCAGTTACCAAGCAGTCGTCACTTTGAATGTGATTAGAGACAGACGAGAAATCAAAACGTTTTCCCAAGATTCCTCCTCATCAAAAAAAATTGACAGCACGCGACCGTGTGTTGTGGAGTAAACGGGCTTTCAAACACGTGATGGAAAGAAACAATCTACTGAGGCTTCACCACACTAATGAACACTCAAGCAAACTTAAGAAATTTTCGGACCTTCGTCAAATTACATTGCTCGCCCCCGCGCCGACGGCACGTGTCCGCGAAAGCCATCAGAGACGCGGCGGGGCGCGGAGCGACCTGGACCGACTGGTTCCCGGTTTTCCCGCTTGGCGGCGTCCGTTTTGCTGGAGTCGCGAATACTGCATGTGAGAACCGGCCTTATGTGTGTGTGAAAACCTCTCACCCAGAGCACGTGAAGGGTTCAGAACGGTCTTAAAAACCATATGAGAACTCCAAAAGTAAAAACTAAATGGTGTTAAGGCGCATACCTTTTTCACCTTTGCTTCACGGAAAAAGGGACTACTACTCGTGAGGATTAAATTTGGGACATGTTTGCAAAGCCGACTTCATGAGACCTGCCATTCAAAAATACGCCAAGCATCCCACTTTGTTCACATTAAGGAGGGACACTACCCAAAAAAGTTAACTTTTAAACCACTTATGACATTTACAGGGCTCGTTTCTGTTTGTGTTGAAAACATATGTGCCAAATTTTGTTAACCTCGGTGAGGTACAAAAAAATTGCAAATGTTTAAAGAGGAAAGTGGGCGTGTCTGCCTAGGAAAACTATCGTTTTGAAATTACTTATAAATTTGCCGTTTTCATGTGTTATATTGCTTTAGGACAGTTCAGAGCAGATAGCTATGGAGCTATATTTCTATATTATACCATCTTTCATGACAAAAAAGCTACATAAACTCAAAAACTGTTTTGTAGATTTCCATTCTTTGTCCAAAATTTTAATTCTTGAGCATGAAAAATGTCAAAAATAAAAATTTCAAGCTCATAGCTATCTTCCCCTTAAAATTTCACTCTAGAAAAACTCATCAAAATGAATCCAAGTTACATAATAACAAAACAATAGTTTTCCCAAAGTGAAATTTATGCCAAAAAGTGGAACAGAGAAAAATGTGTTCAAAGCGTTTCAACTCCTGCCTTTTCTTTAGCATCGATGGACCGAAAATAATTTATAGAAAATTAATTATGCAGTGTAAACTAACGAAACTTTCTGGGAATACTTTCTAGATGTCGGTGGATGAAAATATGACATTTTTCAAAATAAACTTATTTTGCGGAAATAGTTTTTTTCTGGGTAGTGTCCCCCCTTAACTGAAAAGAGTGTTGGTAACGTTGACTGGCAACAGAAAGAATAAAACACACTCAGGACATGGAACTACGACGACGAATGTTCGTCGTCCCTCGTCCCAAATTTGTTTTATTCCTTCTGGTGCCAACCTGCTTTGATGCTACTGAGACTTGCAGTAAACTGTGCAGTCAAACTCAAACCGTGGTGTGCGTTCGTCCTATCGGCAGTGTGAGCTGTCGTACATTGCTCGACAAGTGGCTGCTTTCATTGGAAGCGCGACATTTTTTTTTTACATAGGTGTCTATAAACATGGCGACTGTCGTCTGGCACCATAGCAGTGACGGCCATACTTGCCTGTAGCGGTAGTAAGAAACCAGCATGCGTTCTCGGACAATGCCCTCTATCTTCTGGTCCACAACAAGCAGAATCACACCGCACAAGAACAGAGCTTCACACTGCAAAGAAGACGAGGAAAGCATGCAACGCATGTTTACCTCACAATAAAAACAATTAGAAAAAAAAAGAAGCTTCCCCAGTGATGTAGTACTACAGGTGAAATGCTACATGACAGCACAATGCACGTAAGGAAGTATGTTGCCCTTCAGTACGTCTATCAAAGTATGATGAGGTTCACAGAAAAAGTATGCAGTTATATGATGCACATAAAGATTTACAAGGTGCATCGCTTTGCACTAATGCAAGAACCATGAACAAACGAAGTGAAATTATTCTTAAAACAATCACTGCCTGCTGCCGTCGAGCGCCCTAACCCCTGCACAGAGCACGGAATGTAGAAACGGCACGGGCACATACAAACAGGGTGCCAACGCACCAATTTGGTTGTGTACCTACAACATTGTCTAAAAGTAAAGTCACTGGTCACTTCCTTTTCGTACGATGTAACCTCAGTTCGATGCCCAACTCTTCTCAAATACCTACCCACCTAATATCAGACAGAGCAGATAAAGCAAATTATTTATATAGCACACCACCATCAACGTCTTCCCGGTACATGCCCAATCCCATCCAAGTCAGGCCTCAATCCAGCCTCACCATCAGTTGTTTCCCATCCTCATTTGTGAGGACAGATTCAATTGTTTGCTGGATGTAGATGCCTTCATCCAGGTCCTCTAAGAACCTGAAATAAAGTATGAGATAAGAGCAACATAAAATAAAAAAACATTTACAGTAAATTTGGCCATGTTGCGCGCTACTTTTTGGGGTAACAAAGGCACATGAAGCACCGACTCAGCATGTGTCCCATGTTGGATGCACCAACAACTCGGACACCTCCATAAGTTGGATTAGTCCCAAGCATGTGCTGCGATTGTAGAGTTGAGTAGGTTTCATATTGCAAAACAAATTTCATAATGTAAGAGAATAAAAAAAACGAAGATATGCCTATTTAAACAATACCAAATTAAAACAGATTTGAAAGTTTGCAAATTCGGATTAATTATGCTATAAGTGTACACAAGATTCAAAGGATCTGACAATTTTATGTAGCTATAAAACTGTTTCTCTTTATCATTTGCTTTCTCTGGAACCAAAATAATTGGATGTGACTTCACAACTGCAAGTTTAGGAGCCATACCTGTTCAGGTCTACTGTGTACTTGTGAATGCTTTCAAATGCAAGGTAGAAACGAGTCAGGATCTCAATGTAGTTCTCCCTGAACTCTTCATCCCTGTCTTGGAGTTGCTGTAAAAACAATGTAACTTAGTGGTATCATTTGTCTGCTACAATTACCAATGAAACACAAAGCCGTGAGAACAGAATTTAAGCCAATATTAGGAGGGAACATTACATGGTGATACTGCAGTAACAACAGGACAGTCTTTCAATGACTGCAGCCAATATACCCATAATGTTTTTAAACAAAGGTTTATATGCCACTCTTGCAAGAAATATATTAAAAGGATTCTAGACTAAGAAGCTATTCAAAAGAAAGCAATGATTAGGTGCAGCAAGTTTGGGCATCTTTACACGCACCATTTTAGACATAATAATGACATTCTAGACTTTAAATGTCAACACAGCCTGCATTATCAAAATAAAGCTTTCCTTTGCTCTTGCTGCATCATGTATAGCAGTGGTGGCCAAGCTGCGGCTCTTCGCGTGTTAAAGTGTGGTTCGCGGCTTCCCCCCCCCCACCCACCCACCCACCCACCCACCCTCCCTCCCTCCCTCCCTCCCTCCCAGCACTTCCCCAAAGCAAAATGGGCGTATTTTAAATCAAAAGACTGGTCGCGTTTTGGCAGTCTTGTGCTACTGCTACCATACCTACAGTTGGACTGCTTTTGACTCGGTTAGATTGAAAGTATTTCGAGTTAATTTATTTCTGTAAACAAAGCCCCCCCCACCCCCTCCCCCCGGGTCTTGGAAGTTTCGTGGTTTTGTTTATGGTTCTTAGGCCGGGTCAGCCTGGCCACCCCTGATATATAGTAAGTTCTACTAAATTTTCACATTAATTTTTTTTTCTCATGTTTGTTTTACAAATTGGCTTAGTGTCTAAAGTGTTAAAATTTTTAGTGTGCCTAGCAAACAGGTCTTTGAGGGATGTTACAGATGGTTTTTGACTAGCCCTTTTAAGCATCACCACAAACAATATTTCTAGTAACTGTAATGGCAGCAACTGAAGTACTCACAGCATTGCTCTCTATCTTGTTCTCGTAGTGCTCAATGGCCTTGAAGTAGCTGTAGTCGAACAGTATGTCGCCATACTTGGTTATGTCAGGCCGACTTTCGAGCTTAAAGATGGCCGGCACCACGTCGGACAGTCGGAGGAGCTCAGCTATGATGGCGTTACCTCTCGAGACAAGGTTCAGGAGGGTCTGACCACAGGCGTTATTCTCAGCCAAGAAGTCCATGGTGCCTGAGAAAACAATCCTATATTAAGCAGATGCTATCACGCCAACCTACAGAAAACCTGGCATAACCTTGATTCCCAAAGAAAGACATGCACCTGTTTGTCCATTGCAGCTTAGCAATTACAGACCACAATGCAGATGTAGTAGTAATTCACACAACTTGCAATGTGTTGTGCCATTGTGTCCCATATGTGGACTCTGATTAGCTTGCAAATGTAGCAAGCCAAATAACAACAGTTTACATTGGTATGCACACTCTGCTAGCTAGCATTAATGTGTATCCTTTGACAGCTGACGTTAACGAGTACACTTTGATAGCTGACATTGATGTGTGCAGTTGGATAGTTAACACTGATCTGTGCACTTTGACAAATAACAACTTTGATAGTTAACATTCACTTGAAAGATGCAGGACGAACGATCCTTTAGAACAAAATTAGATAGAGATAATTCGGGAAAGGTTTGTCTACCTGCACCAGACTCCCCAACAAAACAATATCCATGTTACCGTGGTTTTCCAAAAAACTCCACAGGGTTGCGATACCTTATATTATTTTCCACCTCTTCAACAGCATGCCATTATCTCCATTAAGATTCTTACAAGACCTTCAGTTACGAGACGAATATCTCAAGATGACTGAAGCCTTGTAGCAAAACTTTCGAATCGCAAAAAAATGTTGGTTTTCAAGCGTCGGCAAACGTCCTGCTGACTTATATATCGCGTAAGGTTAGTCGCGCACACATGCATACCGAAATTTCACTTGAGGAACTGAGGATCATACGCCCCCCTTTTTTTTCCCCCGCAAACAACGCCAGCAAAACCGTGGCCTGCTGCTATCTACGAAAGATTATGCTTGAGAACGAGAGTGCTAATACCCGTATTTTCTGTCATTTTAACGCCGACTAATAATGAGGTAATTTTCTGTTTTGTTTGTGAAATACACTTTCGGCAATTTCCAGCATTTGTGATGTGTACGGGCAAGAAGTCGCTAGAAGCCTAGAACACGCACCTTTAACGCTCTTCAGACACTTGAATACAGATTAGAAGTAAGAATACGGATAATCGCCATCGATGGGCAGCATATATGATCAAAATAAGTACAAATTAATGAATAAATCACTTCACCAACACGGTCCACAAACGAAAAACACCAAAGCCTGCCGGCTTGCCTTTATCTATTTCATGCGTGCACGCATGCAGGTAGATTAATTACAAAAGGTATTATTCGAAATAGGTGTCGTTTAGCGCCATCTAGTCATCAATGCTACAAAAATAAGCTTGATGAAAATAATCCCTGGAGAAGGGGAACAAGAGGGACAAGGGACAAACATAAAACTCCAAACACAGCTAGGTGACTGGTGAGCGACCGAAAAATTAAATTGCATTTAATTGCATTATAAAAATAAGCTGATGTGGCGCCGTCTGATGAATTAAGAAAAAACAGCATTTGAAACTTCAACCTAATTTGACAGGTGGCGCCACATACCCAACTTCATAATTTGTCACTGCGCAGGAGAAATTCACGACCCAAAACTCGTGCAGTTTTTGAGTCTGACATAGCACAGCTATGGTTACGTTAAATCCAGAGGTAAGAGAACGGTATACTCCGCGCTAAGAAATGTAGCGAATAAAACTAATCGGTCTTAAAGAAATCTGCTTAAACGCTAATATAACTGTTGAAACCTCCCTCAGTGCGTATATGAGGTGACATGTTTTGATGGGGTCGCATTTCTGCGATGTAATAGTCAGCTTTGCGCAGAGGCGGTGTCGTACCCAATGAGGTTTTAACCGAGGGGCGACTATTGCTAGTTGAAAACTTTTCCCAATACCCCGCCGGGACGTCGTGAAATACCGACGGCCATGGCAATTTTTGGCAAGCCCTACGGGGCTCCTTGTGAAATCCAAAATCAGAATTCACATGATGACAATGTGCAATTAATGGTTCACCTGGAAAACGGTGTTCCGAGTCATTATCGCTAATGGCATACGTACCCTCTCATATTCGTATGCTGAGTAGTGAGAAGATAGACCGCACCGATTGATGAAGTGATTACCAACGCCACCGAACCTGACCGAACTCTGGCAAGACGTTGGCTCCGGTCCGTTCACGTCTGAGGACTATCAAAGCGACGACTCTACCTGGCAAACGTGCTTCTAGGAATCGTATTAGATAAACTATAACATTTTCGAACATGCCTGCAGTGGTAGAAAGGGAGTGCTAGTAGGGTTTCGTGTTGTTGGCTATACCTGATAATATATAAATGTTTAAAAAATAAATCTATATAAATGGGCGGTTTCATTTGGATTGTGGCAACGAGGAGCAGTCGTATTTTTTATTTTGCTTCAAATTTTTATATTTCGTGGCGCATGTTCCAAGAAGAACAGTCCTTTTAATTTTGATTTCCTGACATGTTTAGTTTCCGAGAAAAAAAAAAAAAAATTCTAAGAAGCGGGAAAGAACGACGAGGTCTTGACGATTGTCGTGCGTGGCCTTTTTGAATCACTCTCAATCTCAAAGTATTAAAAAAAAAAGCTATATATATATATATATATATATATATATATATATATATATATGCGTGTGTGTGTGTGTGTGTGTGTGTGTGTGAGTGTGCGTGTATGTGTGTGCGTGTATGTGTGTGCGTGTGTGTGTGTGCGTGTGTGTGTGTGCGTGTATGTGTGTGTGTGTGTGTGTGTGTGCGTGTGCGTGTATGTGTGTGTGTGTGGAAGTCGGTAAAACGACATTCCAACAACTATTTATTATTCGTCGATCCAATCTTTGAAAAAATCCCCAAACATGCCTCCGCGAAACTGCGGATGTTTTTTTTTTTTTTTTTGTTTTGTTTTTTTAGTCGATTATGTTTAATATTGCTTTTTAAACTAATACCACGTGTAGAACCTTTCATTGCCTTCCAAATTAAGCAAAGTTTGTGCATTTATTATGTACGAGTACTGAAAAATAAATTATAAAACTGAATAGGTTTTCACTTTTCGTTAAATTTCAGCACGCTTTATAAAAAAAAAACATTTTTAATTTTTTTTTCTTGTTCTTGCATCGAGTTTTTTTCACACCCTTCTTTTACCCAGAATACATTCCGTTAGAGGTATATGCACTGGTTTTGAGTTTTAAGCCTCTAAATATGCTAAAAAAATGATTGTGTTCTGTTATCAGCATGAATTTCGGATTAAAAATATAAAATTTGAAATTTAAAAATCTAGGTTTCAATAGGGAGTGTATTTTACTCTAACGTTTTACGATATTGTGCTTTGATATTTCTAACGCAGTATAGATTATGTAGCGCATAGGGTTTAGGCTTGAGGCCTCTCCAATCACGGCACTGGCGGATATTGTCTGAAAACCCGCTTTCGGCAGTTGCGATTTTAGTGTTTAGACGTCTGCAATTGCAAACTTGTTATACGCCTAACAACATCAATGTCTTTTATAAGATCATTTATTAAACGTCCCTTAGATTATAATAATAAAGGATAAAATATGCAGCTATGACCCATAAACCCACCATCAGCATCATGTAAACCCTGAGATGGGGAACGATAAAAAAAAAAGAAACAAAAAAAAACGGGGCGAACACAATATTGTGAAACATTTGTTGTGTTCGTCATTTTTTTTTATCGTTCTCCATTTAAGGGTTTACAAGATGTCGATTAATTACCAGCTCGCCTGCACTCTCTCACTGCTTACAATTCCACCATCAGCATTTGCTCTTCTTTTTTTTTTTCCATATCTAGAGGATTAAAACCCAAACCAATGCATATACCTCTAACAGAATGTATGCTGGCTAAAAGAAGGGTGTGAAGAGAACGCAACGCAAGAAAAAATAAATATATGTATATATATATATATATATATTAAAAACACAAACTTTGTTTATTATGGAGCGAAATGAAAGGTTATACAACAAGTGGCATTATTTTAAAAGCGATACTAAATATAGCCTACTCGAAAACAAGTCCGCAATTTAGGTCACAGTTGTTCGCGGAGACATGTTTGGGGATTTTTACAAAGATTGGGGCGACGAATAATAAATAGTAGTTATAATGTTGTCTTACCTACTTGCATATATATCACACTAAAAAAACAGACGCTCTTTTCAGAATACTTTGACAATGAGTGTGATTCAAAAACGCCTCTCACGACAATCGTCAAAACCTCGTCGTTTTTTTCCCGCCTTCTTTGAGATTTTTTTTTTTTCTCCCTCAGAAACTAAACGTGTCAGGACATAAAAAAAGGATTGCTTTTTTTTGGAACATGCCCCACGAAATATAAAAGTTTGAAGCAAAATAAAAGATACGACTGCACCTCGTGCCTGAATCCAAATGAAACCGCCGATATATAGACGCTTTGCAGCAGCTGTGGATGGACGCCGCCATAACTGACCTTCAGTTTTTGGTTCCTCTTATCTCGCTCATTTCACTTCATCATTACCATGGCAGGCCAGGTTATTGCCATATTAGATTCAAATGTGTCCTTTTCTAAAACAGCGGACTTCGTAGAGGATCGTCAACTACCGTTTCAGTTGCTCGGCATCTCGGTAAGACAAGAGAAGGTCAGCAATGGCGGCTGTAATTTGGCGCGTGTGTAAAGCGTCTATACCCATATAAATGCGCTATTTTTTTTTTTTTTTTTAATTCGGATTTATTGGAAAGCCCCAGAATTTGGAGGTTGCGATGGCCAAAAAACAACGAATACAGTTTTTTTTTAGAAATAAGAGTGGTCAGGTTAGGTAGTACATCATAACAGCACAGGTGAAACAGCCAACAGGAAAGGCCTTTCCAGATTCCTTCAAAATCCCGTACTAGTGACCAAAGAAGGTTCACTGTTTATCCCGCTAGGGTACGTTCAGGACAAGGGGGAACCGTAATTCTGGGTTACGACACAAGTCCCATTGCAGTGGCGTACCAACGTGTTTTTGAGTGGGGGGGGGGGGGGGGGGGGCAAACCAGACGCTTTTCGGGGTGACTTCTACTCAAATTACAAATTACTTTTGAATTTTATTGGTTGTTTTGCCTATCAACAGAGATAAAATGTTGGAAGATCAGCTGATATTTGCAGAGGGGGAAGCATGTGGCGTAGAAAAGAGGGGGGGGTGGGGTAGAGAGAGGGATTCGGATAATCCGAAACCCTCCAGTGCAACAACACTGCTACGAGGCGCGGGGAGCGAACAGACACGACGCAAGAGAGGCTGAGTAACTGTGGGATTAGCGCCGAAGACTGCCAGCGTTTCTTTCTATCCCGAAGCTCAAGGAGACTGGACTCATTTGAAGAAAGGGCTTGTCCCCGCTTCTCCCCAATGTAGGAATTCTTGCCTACTACAGGAGGTATACATCCTCACTCAAAGGAGGTAACAAAGAGCAGCACCCGCTCTTACGTTAATCTGGTGCTCCTGTATACCTTGTGCTGTCTTTCGAGACGTCATCTGGTCATTACTCTGAGTGACGAAATGGCGGCTATAAGACCGATTCAAATAAGTGCCTTATAAGTTGATTGTGATAAATGGTTCGTCAGCGAGAATAAAGCAATTACTCTATGGCGTATTAGTCACCGCAATTTCAGAAAAAATAAACAAAAAAAAAAAACTGATGCATTTCCGATTTTGCCATTCTTCCTGTAAAAAACTGATGCACCTCCGATTTCCCCTGATGCAATGCAAACCGGCCAGTTTAAAAAAAAGCGTCGTATAGCGAATGAAAACACATTTTAAAAGAGTGTTAAAAAGTACTTCTACTTTACTTAGGAATTGCATTGTATTTATAGTACTTCACTTCAAGTACATTGCACCCGGTGTACTCACTACTTTACTTGAAGTACGTAACCTCTCCTTTACTTTGTACTTCCAAGTAGTTTTTAGACGTACCTTACGCAACACTGTAAGCAATCAAACACTGTCTGCAAAATCAAGCTCAGGTAGTGCTAAACCTCAAAGGTGAAATGATGCATCCGCAGTACATCCTTGACCAAAAAGAAGTACTCAACAATTAGGCATGCAGAAGCAGAACTAACTATTAAAGTATTTCTGTGAAAACACAAGCCGCTTCACATTCCGCCAGCAGAATTTCGCTAACGCATCAAAACCTACATAAGTATTTCCGTCTTGGCATAGAAAAAATAAAAGTAACTTCAAAAGTAATTCGCTATTTTATTACGGTAATTGGTAATTTACTGAATTACTTTCC